CAAATAAAACTGCAAATTGTTTTCTACAAAAAGTTTCATAAATTTCCATTCTTTTAAGTTGATGTAAAGTACCATAAAGTGCCAATAAACTTATACCAGGTCTTAATCGACAAAATATTTCATTTATATATTTTACCTTAAAAGATAATCTTATAATTATTATTAATTTTTTATTAAATCATATATATTAAATATTATGTTATATATTATATATACCTGTTTACAACTAGAAAAAAATATAATAATCTTTTGTTTTAAATGATTCCGTATAAATGACCATAACATCGATATTTTATCTTCTAAAGCACAAACAACATAACTTTGTTGAAGTGTTTCAGGTGTTATATGTTTAGAATGTTCATGTACTGACACATATAAAGGATCTTTTAAACTTAACCTGGCTAAATCTCTTACAGATCTGTTATAAAATAAAACAAATATATATTAATAAATATAATAAAAATAAAGATTATATTTTATTTACTTTTAAAATATATATACTTTGTTTGTGTTGCTGAAAACAAAAGCGTTTGTCGTTTTGGAGGTAAGTTCTCAATAATAGAATTCATAGTTTGCTCAAAACCCATGTCTAAACATCTATCAGCTTCATCTAATACTAACAGCTAGAATTGCAAAAATTAAAATATATATATATATATATATGTTATAATATTAATTATTATTTATTTATATTAATAAATTAATATTTAATTCATATTATATTCATTTATATTATATTCATAAATAACTTATTTATTTGTATATTTGTATATTTATTTACCTGCATATTTATACAATCAAATAAAGGATTTTCATCCATATGTTGTAACAAACGACCAGGAGTACATATAACAATATTACATTGATCCATACGTCTTTTTTCAAATTTTAAATCTTTTCCACCAATAATAAGACCAGCTGAAATATCATGATATTGACCAACTTTTCGTAAAGTTTCATAAATTTGATAAGCAAGTTCTCTGGTTGGTGTAATAATAAGTGCCCCAAGACCATCTAATCTTGTCCACTGTTTGCAATATAATATTTCTAAAACCTTAAAAAATAATTTAAACTTATATTTTTATTGTAAATTAATTTTTTTACATAAATTTAATTAAATTTTTTACTGGAATAAGAAATGCTAAAGTTTTTCCACTGCCAGTTTTTGCTGCTCCTAAAATATCGTTTCCATGCAATGCTAAACCAATACTTTGTCTTTGAATATCTGTCATTTCAAAATAATTATTTTCTGCTAATCCTTTTAAGGTCTTTGACGAAAGTGGAAGATCTGTAAATTTTGTTACCTTTGTTTCATCAATCTGTAAACATGTAAACTTTATGTAAGAACATTATTATAAAATTAAAGAAGAAAATTAAAACTTACAGCATCATATTTTGATTGTAGATTTGCAATTATTTGTGTTTCGGATATTTGTTTCTTTTTTGTTCTATAAATTCTGACTTTCTTTTTCTTTGACATTATATTAATTTTTCTTAAAATACGATGCGATACGAATAAAAGTTTTTTATGAGGTTATGTTTATACGTGATGTATAGTAAAAACACGTGGCAATAACTGGTAGACATTAGTAACTTACTAGTATTTCTTATTAATAAGAAATATGGATGAATACATGAATATCTAAACAGTAATAATATATAATAAATAACATTATATGGATTTATATATTTTTTAAATATATTAAAAAAGAATGTAAAATCAAAATAAACAAAAATAATTATCTAAATTATTAATTTTTTATCTGTAAATTTTAACTCTTAAAACTTTAGAGAAATTTCGCATACCACCTCTTTTCAGATATTTTTTTATCATATAAAATCGAATTTTCTAGCAATGATAATTTTTGTTCAAATTTTGTAATATAAGAATATAATTAAAAAAAAGATGGTATGTTAAAATTTTCTTAAAATTTAATGTGTTTTATACTTATCTTTTACGTATTTACATTTTTAAGTTGTCATTTTTATATTTATTTATATATGTAATATATTTTTCGAATACATCTATAATTCCAAGAATATCTTTTGCAAATTATGTCTCTTCACATTATTCTTTCCGTTTAAATTATAATTAACGTATTGTTTTCCTTCTTTTTTTCATTTTACAAATATTTAACGGAAATATATTTTGTCGATAAGTTAGGCGATAACTGAAAAATTTTGATCAGTGCCATCTCGCGTTTGGATCACCGAAGCTTCGATTTATTATTAGTATAGCAGAATGTGCAAGGAGGTATGCGAAGTCATAGACAAAGAGAATATTATTGTGCGAAAAAGACAGAGAGCATCCCCCACCACTTTGAAAACTTAACATGAAAAATTTATTAATTATTCTTCTTCTACTTAAAATTTCGACACTTTTAAGCTCTCATCTTGAAACTAAAACTCCAGGCAACTTTCTCGTATCAATTTTAACATAAAATTTGTTATAATTAATTGTTTATTAATAATTAACGCATACGTTCCAATATATCGAAGACGCCATATGAAAAATTTATTAATTACTCATATTCTATTCTAAATTTCGCCACTTTTAAGATTGCATTTAAAAACTAGAACTTCAAGGAAATTTCTCCTATCAATTTTGATATCAAATTCTCTTTAGTTAATTATTTATTAAGGATTAACACGTTATATCATATCATACATTCTAATCAAAGACGCTATATGGAAAATTCACTAATTTCTCATTTTCTATATAAAATTTCGGCACGTTTAAATCGCATTTTAAAATTAAAACCCTAGACAAGTTTCTCATATCAATTTTAACGTAAAATTTTTTTCCATTAATTATTTATTAAAGATTATTTTGAAGTCTCAGTTTCAAATCCCCACTATGTAATAAACACTTAAATTATCTATTTAAAAAATAACAAAATTATAAATAAAATTTATATATGAATATACAGAAGGAAATTACGTTTCAAATGCATATAATCATATTTAGGAATAAATCCTATATTGATAAAAAATTAATTAAAAAAATCTAATATCTAGTAATATAAATAATATCGGCATTCGATGTGAGAAATTAATTGTTAATAAATAATTAATGCAAAAGAATTTTACGTTAAAATTGATATAAAAAATTATCTAGGCTTCTAATTTTAGAATGCGATCTTAAACGTGCCGAAATTTTATATACAAAATGAGAAATTAATGAATTTTCCATATGGCGTCTTTGATTAGAACGTATGATATGATATAATGTCTTAATCCTTAATAAATAATTAATCAAAGAGAATTTGATATTAAAATTGATACGAGAAATTTCCTTGAAGTTCTAACTTTTAGATGCAATCTTAAAAGTATCGAAATTTAGAATAGAATATGAATAATTAACAAATTTTCCTTATGGCGTCTTCGATATATTGGAACGCGTTAAATATTGCGTTAATTATTAATAAATAATTAATTACAAAAAATTTTATGTTAAAATTGATACGAGAAAGTTGCCTAGAGTTCTAGTTTCAAAATGAGAGCTTAAAAGTGTCGAAATTTTAAGTAGAAGAAGAATAATTAATAAATTTTCCATGTTAAGTTTTCAAAGTGGTGGGGGATACTCTCTGTCTTTCTCGCGCAATGGTAGTTCCTTGTCTACGACTTAACATACCTCCTTGCACATTCTGCTATGCCAATAACAAATAGAAGCTTCGGTGATCCAAACGCGAGATGGCACTGATCAAAATTTTTCACTCGTCACCTAACTTACCGGCAAAGTATATTTCCGTTAAATGTTTGTAAGATGAAAGAAAGGAGGAAAACAATTATACAATTATAAAACGTTAATTACAATTTAGACGGAAACGATAGTGTGAAGAGACATAATATGCAAATGATATTTTTAAAGTTATAAATGTACTTGGAAAATATACTACACATGTTATATATGTAAGTAAATGTATCAATATATACATAATATATTGTTTCTTTGTTATAAACGTACGATTAAAATTAGCTTTCGATTGCAAATAAATTAGACACATTTTTAACAATAATTACCCATTTATCGCACGTTTATTTAGATACTTCAATCATGTTATAAATTGAGGAATGGTTATTCTATCGTATATATAAAAATATATACAATCTAGAACACAAATGAACGAAAGATCTATCATTAGTAAGTAAAAAAATAAAAAAACTCTTTTACTTTTCGTTTAAATTCATCTTAATTTATATACATATTTTGATATTACAAATATTGATTTACATTCGAAGCGAATAGAGAACTCTTGCAAAGTGATTTAAGTCGGGAAGTAATTAATCAAAAGTATCGAGGAAGTAATTAATTGAAACTTTCATACTTAAACGATGATCACATTCGCTCGCGGAACAATTAAAAATACTTAGCCCGAATTTATCGGTATATTTTTTAACATCCATCCGTTTTTTTCCTACTCGTATACATTAAATACATTATATAACAATACAATATTTTCCAGAAATGAACAGAAAATCGCACGTGTATACGTATCGATCTACTTGTGCGTGCGTGAGAGAATTTCACTCCCATAAAAAAAAGAAAAAAATGCATTTATCTCGATGACGAGAAGATCTCTACTCCGTATTATATTCTCAATGTGCCACGTGTTATCTGAATCAGTGTCAATAGAGGAGATGCTGGATCGTCGTTAAAAGTCACATGTGTGGAATGCATGTGCATCGTCGCATCGGCGTTTACGAGAAAGAAAGGCGGGGAGACTGAGTATTAGAAAGGAGGGGTCGAAGTAGAAGAAGAGGAGGAAACGCGACTGAAAGGGTGACTGCATTGTGCACGACGATTACATTCGGATAAATTTCTCGCTCCTTCTCGAGTTCGTCTACGATCTATCGGTTGGTCGTGCATCTTGCACCTCGTTAATAGTAGTGCGCCTCCTTTTTTTACAGTGATCTGTATCAGAAGAAGTTCCCTGTGAAAATCATGATTTGACGAAGAAAGGGTAGCATGCGGCGAGACCACGTGAAGCAGCAATGGAGAACACTGCGATTGCCTCGCAAAATCCACTCCGTTTCTTGGCCAGTTTGTTTTCTCGTAATACTAGGTTTATACCCGATGATAGCCGATATTATCTTACAGGATATGGGTAAATCTATCATTATTGCTTTTTTTAATTTTTTCCTTTCCTTTTAATTCAATTATCCCGATAATTATACGCGTTTCTGCTTTACATTATTCGATCGTTTAAGATCCAAGTTATACGGGTTAAACTGTTTTATGTATATGTGATATGCATTCTACAATTCCATGTAACGACACGTTACGTTTGTCTTACGACTACTTTGTCTTTTTAAGTGATCCCTATTACATTAATTGAGCCACTGTCCATAGCATGCAAAACTGCTTGTTCTACTCTGGAAAAGAGGACTTCTTAATGAAACTGGTTTAAACGTTCGGCGTAACGCGATGAGTTACGTCTTTTGGGTTCAAGGGTTATTGGGTTTCCAGAGGTTATTGGGTTGTTCGTTGTACCATCATTTTAAATTTATGCTTATTTAATTACATCTCGTTTTTTTTATAAAATCTTTTGTAAGCTTTTAAAGATTTATGGCCTTCTGGAATGTAATTTTTTTATGATTAAATTAATTGTCAAAGTTTTTAGATTGAACATTTAATTATGGAAATATTCGTAGAATTTTTATAAAGAAATATTTTTGAGACGTCATTTTTTTCTTTCTTTTATCGTATTTTACCATATCACGATAAGCTGGCCTGAATTACGAATTATTTCTTATAATTTCAGAAAAGGATATCGTGGATCTGGTTGACGGTATTGGAATGCAACAAGAGCGCATCGGAGTGACAATAACCCAAAATCGTTGTCACAGAAATGACACGATCGCGTACGACATCGCGGAAAGCGCGCTACTCACGATCGATACGAACACCCTGTTCCCCACTGGTATACCACGCGATTTTTCCATTTTGGTCGTTGCCAAGCCAAAAATCGGTAAGTAAATCCTTCGATTTACCAATCGATTCGTATACGCGTATAATTTTTAACGATCCTATCCTTAATAAAACGTTTATTTAACGATCGCAAAATTAGGATATCCAGTTGCCACGCTGTTTGCCATCTACAACGACAGTGGTGAGGAACAGTTGGTGTTATCATTGGGCAATGACGTCATTCTTTACTATAGCACAACTCCGGATGACAAAGGCAAGGCAATATCGTTCGGGATTGATATTTCCGATGGCAAATGGCACCGTTTAGGAATCAGTATTAAAGGGAACACCGTCACTCTGATTCTTGACTGTGCTCGGCAAATTTCGAAAGAGCTGCGAAGAAACCTTGACGAAAGGATCGACATCAATGGCATCGTAATCATTGGCCAACAGATCGTGGATGGCAATATGTATTTGGTCGGTGAAGAAACACTCATTCATCGTTTAATTTGCATATTTATTGTAAATATTATTTTTTTCAATCTTTTACAGGGTGGCTTGGAGATGCTGAAGATTGCCCCGATCCCGGATGCGGCTTACGAAATCTGCACGATTTTCGCGGCTGACTGTAAGAATCATACGAGACATAGATTCACGACCACGCGTAATAATAATCCCACGATTCGTACCACTTATTACGAGGACGCGAGTCAAACAATCCGAAGTTCCAGCTACGCGGGTGAAGCATTCTCAACTACTAGATCGTATTACGAAACAAATTACAATAATTTAAACTCGTCTCAAAATTATGGCAGAATATCGTCTACGATATCTAAACTAAATGTTTCGTATAACGAAGAAAGTGAGAATCTAAAGAAGACGGATGAAGAGAAGGAAGAGAACGGAAGCGAGGAAGAGAACTCATGGATCGAAGATAACGACGATTATAATTACAGGCCTGTGAATAAGTCATACGCTTCGAGATCAACCACGGACACTCATCTTCGTAATCAAAGTGCTGTGAGTTGATCGTTTGTTGTTAATTAAAAAAAAAAAAAAAAAGAAAAGAAAAGAAAAAATAATATGGAATAAATTTTCATTAATTTTCTAGATGTTTTCCAACAACATTGACGGAACAACGATAGATCGTTACGAAACGACACCTGCACAAATTCCTGAAATTTCCGATAATTTAATCGGAAAAATTCGGGACGGATTGAAATATACGGAGTCTTCTTCGGAAGGATCGTACTACGGCTCGAGTTATTATAATAGCAGGGGTCCACCTGGACCACGAGGATTTCCAGGACCACCAGGTGTGGCCGGGCCGTCCGGTAAAAAAGGGGAGCCGGGAAGAGATGGGTTGGCAGGTTTACCCGGTGTACCTGGTTCACCGGGAAACGTGTTCATAATACCGACATTGAATCAGCAAGGTAACGAGAAGGGACCGGATGCTCAGATGGAAGCTTTGAGGCAAATGCTTTCGCAGCATATGATAGCTATGAGGGGTAGCGAGGGTCCTATGGGCCTGACGGGTATCTCTGGGCCCGAAGGACCTCCAGGACCTCAAGGCCAGAAAGGAGAACCTGGCGAAATTGGCGAGCCTGGCCCTCGTGGAGAAAGAGGTCAGTTTAAACACCTCAAGTAATTATATATCAGAATAAATTATTTAGATAAAACAGAGTACATTGAAAAATTATATATATTTGTATATAGGTATTCCTGGAAATACTGGTAGGGAGGGTAGACGAGGTCGACCTGGTAGAGACGGGGAACGAGGTTTAAGCGGAGTACCGGGGATGAAAGGAGAGCAAGGTGTACCTGGATTGCCTGGATTGCCAGGAGATAAAGGGGAAAGAGGAGCTGTGGGTGCTACCGGGGAACAAGGTTTGCCAGGTCACGAGGGAATGCAGGGTGACGATGGTCCACCAGGTTTGCCAGGTTTACCCGGTGAAATGGTAACGAGCATATTAATATTATAAAGTGACAGAATCGTATAAACGCAAAGATTAATTGAAATCGTTTTAGGGTCCAAGAGGATTTATAGGGCCACGAGGTTTTCCCGGATTACCAGGAAATCCTGGTATTCCTGGAACCGAAGGTCCGCCAGGAGCAAAGGGCAATACTGGACCACCTGGTCCTCCAGGCTCACCAGGCTCTCCGGGTCCAATCGGAGCTGTAGGTCCACCAGGACCTCAAGGTCTTCTGGGCCCGACTGGTTTAGTGGTAAATCTCTTTGGAGATATAATATGTTCCCTTAATTATTTAAATCCTATTAACATAAGTTACAATATGTTATTAGGGGCCACAAGGAAAGCCTGGAATTCCTGGTCTGTCAGGAGCAGACGGATCGCCTGGTCATCCTGGAAATCCAGGCATTCCTGGGACGAAGGGTGAACAAGGTCTGCAGGGTCCGCAGGGTCCGATAGGTTTTCCAGGAGTTCGCGGTATTAAAGGTGACGAAGGAAAACGTGGATCGCCCGGCGAACGCGGAGAAAAAGGTGAAAAGGGTGTGGAAGGGGAGAAAGGTGACGTTGGCGCGAAAGGGGAGCCTGGATTATCAGGTCCGCAAGGAATTCCTGGACTGGAAGGTCTGGAAGGGCCTAAAGGTTTTGAAGGGCCGCGTGGTGAAAGTGGACTGATTGGACCGCCAGGTGAGAAAGGAAAAACTGGTCCCCCAGGTTTTGTTGGATATCCAGGAAATCCTGGGGAGAAAGGTGATAAAGGTCAACTTGGAAGAGAAGGTCCTAATGGAGATAAAGGAGAAAGGGTAAAAAAGAGAATACGACACGTAATAAATAATTACAATACAACGAAATTTATTATTTTAGGGTACTAATGGCGCACAAGGGGAACGTGGTGAACCAGGTCCCAGAGTACGTAAAAAAATATATTTACAAAAGATCAAATATACATAAATTGTTATAATTCATTGTGTCTATTCTTCGCGAAGGGATTTAGAGGTGCTCGTGGTAGAAGAGGAGCTGAAGGATTGCCAGGACCGAAGGGTGACACTGGACAACCAGGCCCCCAAGGATTGCAAGGAGAACCTGGCCCACCAGGCATCGAAGGACCTCGTGGATTTGTAGGAGCTCCTGGCCAAATTGGTCTCAATGGAAAAGATGGTATTCTTGGTCCTCCTGGAGAACGAGGGCCAGTGGGAGATTCTGGACCGCCAGGTCCTCCAGGCGCGCCTGGCGTTATTGGGCCGCAGGGACCGGCTGGTGAACCAGGCCAACCAGGAGAACCTGGAAGTCCAGGAAATCCAGGAGTACCTGGAGAATTAGGTCCGCCAGGGCAGCAAGGAAAAGAAGGACCACAAGGACCGCCTGGTCTTCCTGGAAAAGAGGGTCTACCAGGTCCTGGTGGCTTACCAGGATTTCCTGGCGAACGAGGGCTAAGTGGTTTACCGGTTCATTTTTAATTATGTTAAAAAGTTTTATTGCTAAAATTGAACTTATAGAATATCGTGTTTATAAATTTAATTCGTTTTTCGAAACAGGGAATGCCAGGTATAAAAGGAGAGATAGGACCACCGGGTCTTCCGGGTCCATCAGGCGATAAAGGCGTTCAAGGTGAACCTGGAAAAGATGGTGAACCTGGTCCTCAGGGAAGCCAAGGATCAAAAGGACCTCCTGGACCAATTGGTTTAAAAGGAGACAGGGTATATATACGATGACACAACATGAATAAACTACAAGATTTGTAAAATAAAACAATTTATAAATAATTTAGGGTGAATCTGGACCGATCGGTCCTATTGGACGAGATGGCTTACCAGGGCAACGTGGCTTGCCAGGTTCTCCTGGTCCTGTTGGGGTTCCAGGAGAAGACGGTGACAAAGGAGATATTGGACCACCCGGGGAAAAAGGATTTAAAGGATCTCAAGGGGAAACGGTAAGTACAACTTCCAATTCTAAAGACTAATTTAACGCAATCTTTTTTGCTTTCCATTCTTCATAGGGTCCTTCAGGACCAATTGGCATACAGGGAATTCGCGGAGAACCTGGGGCTATCGGTTTGCCAGGTGAGAAAGGGCCACCAGGAGAAATTGGAAGACAAGGAGCAAAAGGGGAAGATGGTCCTGTTGGAGCATCAGGACCTCCTGGTCCTGTAGGACCGCAAGGATTGCCCGGTTCACAAGGATTAAAAGGAGAAATGGGGGATACGGGATTAGTTGGCCCCGTAGGACCCGCGGGAAGTCCAGGTGTACAAGGTCCAAGGGGTCCTAAGGGAAGCGAAGGTTTGCAAGGTCCCTCAGGGCCGGAAGGTCTTCAAGGACAAAAGGGAGAAGCTGGAGCACCAGGATTACCAGGCTCGATAGGTCCAGAAGGAAAACCAGGTGAAAGAGGTCCTCCAGGTCCGAAAGGAGAAGAAGGAAAGAGTGGTCCTCCAGGGCCGCCCGGTGAACGCGGTATAAATGGTCCGGAGGGACCAAAGGGTAATGCAGGACCTCCTGGTTTCCCTGGATCACCGGGAGAACCGGGTTTAATTGGTGTGAAAGGGGATTCTGGAAAAGACGGTGAGGATGGCAAAGCTGGAGATCCTGGACCACCGGGAGAGATTGGGCCTCCAGGAAAAGAGGGTCTACCTGGCCCTCCTGGAAAACAAGTATAAAATTATACGATTATCTATAAGTAATAATCGATATTCAAAATCATGATCACATAAATGATTTAGGGATCTGAGGGACCAGCGGGAGTGCAAGGAAGTCCGGGTTCGCCAGGAGAGAAAGGAGACATGGGTCCTCCTGGTGCACAGGGAAGTCCGGGATCTATAGGGCCTCAAGGTCTTCCTGGGCCATTTGGTTTGCCAGGTGTAAGAGGGCTTCCAGGGCTTGCTGGAGAAAATGGTCCCCCCGGGATGGCAGGAGCCATTGGCGCCCCAGGAAAAGTTGGACCGATTGGGCCCAAGGGTCCAAAGGGTGACAGAGGTAAACGAGGACTCAAAGGACATCGAGGCGAATTAGGAGATGCTGGTATGAAGGGAGAAGAGGGGGAGAAGGGGGAACAAGGACCACGAGGCGTTCCGGGCTCCGAAGGTCCCAAGGGTAACCAGGGGCCACCAGGTTCGATAGGGTTCAAGGGAAACGATGGACCTCCAGGACTTCCTGGAATAGAGGGACTGGTAGGACCCAAAGGTAGTGCTGGAAACGATGGGCCAAAAGGTGAAACTGGTCCTCCGGGTCCTCCAGGTCCTCCTGGACCACCCGCTGAGCAACCAATGATTCCTCCGGAACTGTTGTTCACGAAAGAACAACTTTTGCGTAGGAGACGCGATATTTCGACAGAAACGTAAAGCAAAATCAAATCATTTTTCAATATCTAAAATGTTTAAAAATGTTACTGCAATATCGTAAATGTTATAAATAAATATTTTTAGGGAAAATAAGGATGAAGAGGAGAAAAATTCGGAAAGTTTGAACAAAGATGATCACGTTGAAGAGGAATTAGGTCCCAAATTCTTGGATATGTACAGTTCTATATACGCTATGAGGCAAGAATTGGATCGAATACGTAAACCAATTGGAAGTAGAGAAAATCCTGCGAGAACTTGTAAGGATCTGTTTTACGGCCATCCCCATTTCCACGATGGTTGGTATTTTTCTGAAGATTTTTTTATCGTATCGATCGTTTGAAAACTTACGAAATTGTGTTGTGAAAAATAGGTTGGTACTGGATCGATCCAAATTTAGGAATGGCGGACGATTCTGTATACGTTTATTGTAATATGACGAATATGGGCGAAACGTGCGTGTATCCAGATATTCATACGAGTCAAATGCCAAATATACCATGGAGAAAGGAAAATAATAAAACTGATTGGTATTCGAATTTACGCGGGGGATTTAAAGTAAGTTTTGCATTTACTTAATCGTATTCTTATTCGTTATAAAAAATAATTTTAAGAGAGAGAAATTACGTGTTGTCATAGATTACATACGAAGCTATTGGAGTAGTGCAATTAAATTTTCTGCGTTTACTGAGTCAAGAAGCTTATCAAAATTTCACTTACACTTGCATTAACAGTGTTGCCTGGTACAATATTTTGAATTTTAACTATAATTCCTCCATACGACTGCTTGGTGCGAACGAGGATGAATTTTCATACACCGGTATCAAGCCACAAATCGTAATGGACAATTGCAAAACGCGTAAGAACAAAGGTGAAACGGTGCTCTTAATTCAGAGTAAAAAATTGCAACAGTTACCATTGGTGGATTTTTATCCTATCGATTATGGATTACCTCATCAGGCGTTTGGTTTCACGGTTGGCCCAATTTGTTTCAAATAAATCAAATCATTTTTTAACTTTAATTGGCAAGACTGAAGCGCGATTGTATATTATACGATAATTGTTTTTTCGTTATCTTGTCTTCCGGATGTTCTAACACGTTGCCGTAATTAGCAGATAATTTATTAATCATCTCAATTTATTTTTTTAATGCATGTATTTTTTACTAAGGTGTACAATATTGAGAACGTTTATTCGTCTTATCACGTACTTACTTACATCAAGTACCATTATTTCTTCTTCGACTATAGATGTTCGAAAAAATAGAAGAACGAAACTTAAATAGAAAATAAGAGAGTTAACATTGTTATTTATATGATATATACTATTAATACTGTAATCACTGCCATGAGTACGTGATGTATATTTTCTCATGTTTATAAATAAAACGCAATAACATACATACGAGATTCTTTTCAATTGAATTGAAATAATGAATATAAATCATTTCAAGATATTTTTCACTTTTATCAGTTTCTATTTTAAGCGTATATTACGTAATCACTTTATATACACGAGTGAATGGTGTATCACATTATGACTAGTAACATTTACTTGAATCATATAATAATATCTTTTTTTGTTCGTTATTTTCCTTTATATTTCTGAAATTAAATATATTATCGATAATTAATATAGAATAATATTCATCGAAATGAATAAATATTGCAATTGATTTACGATACGATAGAAAACACGTTCACACAGGTTCCGTGGTGTAGCGGTTATCACGTCTGCTTTACACGCAGAAGGTCGCCGGTTCGATCCCGGCCGGAACCATTATTTTTTTTTATTTTCCGTTTTCACGTGAAAATTTTTCAACTTCATTATTTTCCAACTTTTTCACGAACAATTTAAACAATTAACACTTAAAACAAGCACAATTTTTTTTTCACCGTGCACATTTTCCTAAAAATATTATCTCATCGTTGTAATACAACGTAAATGCTTGTAATACTGAAAAATTATATAAAATTATAAAAAAGATAAATTTAAACGAAAAAAATATGCACAAGTGAAGTTTAGAATAGACAAGAAAAGCGATTGATAACTTGATTCTTAAAGTATCCCATCTCACAAAGCAAGTAAAAAATGACACGTTTTATTCGCACCACGTTACTATCGAATCCCCACGCGTCATTTGCTCGTCTCGTCGTAACAGAGTGAATTAACTTGTCAGCGGAGGCTTACCAGGAACGAAACTCTGCAGGAGTTTGGTTGGATGTTACGCGAGCCATATCGATTCGCATCTGAGAAGGGCTGAAGATAGCGAGAAGTGATTCGGGAGTAGAAGGGATCGTAGGAATTCGCGAGAATAGCGGTATATGCGTGGCGAACCGTGAGAAAAGGCAGGTGGTATCTTGTCGTGGTGGTCGGCGGTTCACACTTTCAGCTCGTTCTTTTCTGGTGACAAGAAAACCAAAGTGACGGTACAGGGCCGCTTTTATCGTGGCCCTTTTCCTCTTTTTTCTTTTTCGCTTCGAATCGAACGCTTGCTGCTTGATGTCGTGAATAAATCAGTCCTCGCAAATGTATCGATATCTTTTCGAAAAATTTGAATTTAACAGCGAGATTGATATTTCGAAATTGAAAATAAAATTGGAGGGAATTAATCGGTCCATTAACGAGGAAAAAGATTGTTGGGGAAAAATTCGTATACCTAGTAGTTCCTATGAATAGAAACTGTTTGTTTATTCAATAAGAACTTTAATTGGTAATCGATGTTTGGAGAAAAAATAAAGTACGTAAATACGTCTAATGACACTCGTGGTGTACGTAGAGGGTAACTACGAGGGTGAATGGAAGGCGAGTTCTTTCGAAACGAAGCCGCCCCTGTCCCCGACCGCTCGTCCTCAAGAAATGGTATGGGGGATAAAAGGTTTCCTTGTTTAACAAAATATCGTCTCCGAACCATTAGCCCGACCGTTACCACTTCAACGCGATTTTCTGCTCCTGCCACGTCGAGGAGGTGCTTCACAATCCTACGGATCCTTCGACCTATCAAGTGCAGACCGCTTACTTTACCCCCCAACAGAATCGCGCCAACACGCGCTAGAAATTAACTTCTCCCATATAATATCCCTTTTTCCCCGATCCTTTAAACTTTATTCCATCATTTCTTATTAAATGACACTCCACTTAAATGAATCTCCACTTTTTTCGAATCTTACGATCGAAGCAAAAATATATTCGTTAAAGTGAGAAAACTCTTTTTTTTTTTTTAAAGAAAAACACATTGGAAAAGTAACGTTACGATCTTTGAACATTGCAGAAATTTTTGTTATAAAACGGCGCGATTACTCGAATCAACGCTCGAATATCGTAGACATAGCTAAGATATGAATACGGGAGATGACGATCATCGATTTTCAAGTATTTCAATAAATAAAATATTCAAGGATGGGGTGCTGCTTATTACGGCCATCTCTGGTAATCCAACCCGGCACCGTGTGAAACGTACAAGTGTTACTAACGTTTCGTGTCACTATCGTTTCTTTCTTTTCCGAAATGAATCAGAGCTTTATAGAATCTTAGATAGAAATTAATTAACGGAATTTATTACCTCTTTTCAGAGCCACTATCCAACGTGAACTCGAACGACCGCTATCGAGAAACACGAAGAAACGTGTGAATTTCTTTTTTCTTCTTTTTCCTGATATATATATATATATATATATACCAGTCTTGGTTAACGTTTTAATAAAAGACACAGAGGATACGAAATATCGGATCACAGCATCCATTAATACCCCCACCGCAGGAAAATATGAAAGTACTCTCTCAAATCGTCTCGAGGGGTATTTGAACCCTCCCCCTGCCCTCCCCTCGTACTCCATGATCGCATCTCCCGTCAAATACACGTTACCCGTGCGACACGAATTCCTGAAACGGAGGGCGGGGGATATACTAGAACGAGGACGAAGTCGATGGAGCGCACGATGGAGGCTCGGGGTCCTCCGCTTCGAGCAGTTTCTCCCCCGATTACGGGGGAGAAAACGGGTTGACGGGTTGACTTTCCGCGGTTCAGGCGGCGGGGCTTTCCCTCCGCCAAAGGGGTTGCGAGCCTCCGGGGCTGCACAACCACCGCGAGCTTCGAAAGGTACGCCCCGCCTGTCGACCAATCGTCTGCGGCCCTTAGCAACCCCCGGCCGAGCGATACCTCGATTGGGCGTATTCAGACGCGGAGGCGATCAAAGGCGACGCGTCCTGGCCACCCCTGTGCCAGGGCACGGGAACGGCGAGCCATAAATCACGCGTACACACCTCGTGCACCCACCACGACCAAGTCCTCGCCGCGATAAAGAAAAGTCCTCGCCTCGATTTCTCGTTTATCCGCGGCGACGCTCGATTCGCGATCCAACGTTTTCACTTTCACTTCGTTTCGATCGGAAAAGAAAATCGTTGTTGTTTCGGGAACGTGGACGTTGGATGGATCGATGGATGGATGGATAAAAAAGTTTGCTTGTCGTTGCCTTACATTTTGAAATAATAAATATATTTCGTTGTGGTGGTTTACGACTGGTAACGATTTATATCTGGGTAATTAAGTTTAAAAATTGTTTAAGAGTTGTTGCTTGTTGGTAGATTTGGGATTATTGCGGTTCCTTTTTTGTTCTTTTACGTACTCTGAATTGTTTGTTTCTCGAGCATTATCTTTTTGTGATAAAGTTAAAAAATCGAATAGAGGAATATTTATTGGGTATTATATAGAGAAGCGGTACCAGTTCAATGAAACGTCTTGTTTTCTTTCGAAACAAGATGGCTACCGTCGCTAGTTTGGAAATTGCGAAAGGCGAAGGAAAATTATCGAAGATTCGATTGTGAATTCCGATCTATCTATCCATCGATAAAAGTTAAAATATTCGGCCGCCCAGGAATCTGTGATTTAATAATAGTGAAAATTGGAAGAATTTATTTTCCTATACAGGTAAGGGATATTAATTTTAATTTTTCGCTACTTATTATTCTATTTCATTTCGCTTTATTAATTCAAACAATTCTGTTATAAAAAATATAAATTTTGCTTAATCTTTCTATGCTTAATCTTATTAAAATTAGATTCTAATAAATTTTCGAGCACCCTACGTTTTCCGTTCGAAGTTGAAGAACGATTAATCGAAACATATGTGTTTTTTTTTCCCCGACAGTTAGTTGATTATTCGCGTGTAAACACACCTGTAAACCCCTTTTTCCGGCGTTGAGGCGTGTAATTGTTCGTTCACGGATCGCCTCTTTGTCGCGTAATGGCTGCTGTTGCGTTCACACATATGTTAAAAGATATTCGCACATGTTTTATATATACATATAATCCTGTGATGTCGGAAGCACGAATTTTCTGGCGATATTTCGTTGTATTTTATGTGTAATACGTTTGAAAAAACGTATCGATATCCATTGAAGGAAATTTAACGTACTTCAACTTGTACCACTTATCTCTACCCCTCCTCTATATACGTATAAACCGTGTAATAAAACATAACAAATTATACGCGTTGCGAGCCACGTTTTGCCAAAATTATTACAGGTTTTGCCATACGTGTTACAACCGATGTCGTTTGTTCTTTTTTTTACTTTATTTCGGATAATAATTCGAATGCCATACAAGCACGCCTCCATTTTTAATTTTTTTAATTAAACCATTTAAATTTTCTTCGTTCTCGTACTTTTTTATTTTTCCCTCCGCTTAACTTTTAATTAAAAAACGCACAACTTTCTCTCGTATAAATCCATATAAACATTATCACGGTACATGTGTCTTTCCATTTACAAGAAGAATTTAATTGGCGCGCGTGCACCAGTTGTTCGACCGTATATCGTAGTAACAACCAAAGAAAAAAAAAAAAAAAAAAAAAGTATCTGTTACGTGAAATCATTGGTCTCCTTGGAACCTTTACACGTTGGCCGAGTGTCGTGCACGGCATATGCAACCGAATCACGCAATCACTGCCAATCGTGTGAAACGCGCACGTGCACGACCGAAACTAATCCTGCGATGGTGGTGGTGGTTGCCGTTAAATTGAAGTCAGTTTCGAAGAGTCAGATTCGACGTTTCGTCGATTTTCTCCAAGAGAAGTTTTTTCCAAGGAAAAGGCGAACGCATTTCGAAAAATGTTTCGTTTCACGAAAAAGATATACTTAATAATAAGCGATAATAATCGAGCGATAGATCTTGAATTTTTATAGATAGCTCGTAAATGCTATCAACATCGTTGCGTGTAAAGTGGATATATTCTCTTGAAAATTGACGAAATTGTTGCTCAATAGGGAAATGAGGTGGCGTAACGCGATAGCTATGCTATCATTACGACTGCAGCGCAAAGATTAATTATTCAAAAGCTTCTAATTGCAGTCGACCCTTTCGGACAACAAAAGTCACGTCAAGGGTGGCACGGGCTAACGACCGTGTTTATACGGAATACTCCTTAAAAATTGATGAAAAACCGCCGACAAGGGAAGTGGAGGAAAAACGACCCGAAGGAAATTCATCGACGAACCTCTGTAATTAAATACTCACGATTTAAGTACCGTGGACAGGATTATTATTTATCGATCGAGAGGAAAATCATCCGATCGATGAAAAGTCACGAATGTGCATGGAAAGAAAATTGTATCTTGGAGAATTTTGAACGGGTGGAGGATTCAGGTGAAAGTTACTCAGCGAGCTAACGTCACGTGCTTTTTTTCTCGATCAACCCTCTTTCGAACCTTCCATTATTCCTCGAACAATGTACGACATCGGCGTGATTAACCGTACGAAAGGACGTGTGATGATTCTGAAGAATACGCGGTTCGATCGATCATTGAATCTAAATTTCTTACACGTTCTCTCGATCGTTCGATTCTTCAGAAAGACTGAGAAACGATACTTATTTATAAATTTCGTTATTTGATAATCGCATATATCTTAATATAAATTTGAGAGATACGATTTGCAATTAAATTATAAATTTAACGAAAGGAAGAAAAGAAAAGTAGTAATAATTATTTGAACAGGAAAAAGGAAGAAAAACTATTATTTAAATTTAAATTTTGTCAGACACCAAGGATAATATCTGACCCGTATCTGATCGATCCATCAGCATTTTTTATGCGAAAGAACGCACATGACGTGACGAGGAAAAAAATTTGCATAGAATTTTCGTAGGACGCGCAGCGAAACTTTCGTCACCGCGCGGAACTATCGAAAAGTCATTGAGCCGACATTAGGCACAGTTTGCATCTCAAGCTGTGACAAGCTTATCAAACTTCTCGTGATCGATGGGCTCGCATAAGTTTCCTTCAAAAATAATGCGTCTTCCGAATCTTAAACTTTTCCATATATACCTTTTCACACATTTAAATCTATCCCCTTGGAACAATCTTTATTATCTGTATTAAAATAGACAAAAATTATTCTACAAATCACGACGATTTTTTGAAAAAAAATTCGATGGATAACGATTTGATAAAGAGAAAGAGTAATTCGAATTCCTGCCGCATTTGCATCGTTACATCGAGTTACCAGATTGCTCGTGTCCTGCGTAACAGTGCGACATATGTTACACACGCGTGCGTAAACACGATAGATAGATTCGTGCAAACAGAGTCGAATAATCCGTGCCATGTGTAATACTGCGCGTTTATTGAACGAATGCGAATGAAAATTCGACTTCCTATCAGCTATATCGTTTCGATACCAGAGGAAGCAAAGATTCTCCCGGAGGTGTAACGATAATAACGCTTCCGTCGTATGCATCGGGAAGGTAGTTATCGTGAAATAAAAATATTATGGCAGGTTAACGCTCACACGCGACCACTACCACCACCACCCCCCTCGACGAGCCATTAAGAAGTCAGTCGACAGGCAAGAGATCTCTCTCCTCGGGGGTTGATGGCGGTAATGACCAGTGTCGGTGAGACTGGTGGTTCGGGACTGGGGGGTGGCCATCATCCACCAGGACTCTCTCCTCCTCGAGGTGGTTTACCACCGACGAGGCTGAGCGATGCTCCACGTCACCGATGCATTATTGAGCCTGGGAACCCTACAGGTGGCCAGCCGTTCCGTTCGAACGAGAAAGAGTCGGGCCGAGGGCCTCGATTCAAGAGGGAGCACTCTCTCTCTCTCTCTCTCGAGTCGAGGGATATGGTGAACCAGAGAAGAGGTGGAGAACGAAAGAGGGTTGCAAAAGTCAATGGAAGCGACGGAGGATATTTCACGAAACTTTGTTCGCGCACGTTCCAGAGATTTTCCAGAGATTGTTGTTTCGAGAGATCTTCTCGAACAGGTCTTCTTGGAGAAGAATAGAAAAAGGAAGATCGAGGAATATTTTGATTAAAATGTCGATTTCTAATAGCGGTTGAACTCGAAGTCAACAAGTCGCGAGCATCGAGAAAATCGAACGACGTTTAACAATCGTCGAAACTTCTCATTATATGTTGCAATATGCAACGACGCTGGCTATAACTTCCTCCCTTGGAACCGAATGGAGGAATAATCGTATCGAGAGTTGCGCTACTGAAAATGACATGGAAGGGCAGATTAAAAAATTAAGCAAATTAAGAAGTCAAGAAGAAGTTAGTTTTATAATTTCACAGTTCGAGTTAATTTCCTCGAGTAATTGCATTTTGATGGCCAGGTTTCAGGACAAGAAATGGAAGACAACGGCCGGGGTGAAAGTTTGTGCAAAGTTTGCGGTGATAAAGCGTCCGGAAAGCATTATGGAGTCCCGAGTTGCGACGGATGTCGCGGCTTCTTCAAGCGGTCGATCCGCAGGTATGCAAGGTAATTAATTTGCTGTCGATTTAAAAATTCGTTCGAAATGTATAATCAAGTGAATATGGATAATTTTTTAACGGAGAAAGAATCATTTTTTTTTTTTTTTTTTGGAAGCATTAAAGAAGATAAATTGTAATCAAGCTCTAATAATATTCGATTCGATTGTGCAGAAACCTCGATTACGTTTGCAAGGAGAACGGGCGTTGTATCGTGGACGTTTCTCGTCGTAATCAATGCCAGGCATGTCGATTTACCAAGTGCCTTCAGGTCAACATGAAACGAGATGGTACGCTTCGTTTCAACGGTGATTAAAGCTTTTATTCTTAAACGCGAATTTATGTTCCATCTTTCGTACATACAAAATTAATAATAAGCAACTTTAAAAGAAAAATATCATCGTTTAAATACACGAGTCGAACGAGGAGATATTCTCTTCTGTTGGCATCGACACTGTTGAACTCTCCAAGTTCGACAACGTCTTGTCTGTTGAAGAAAGCTTGGGGATGACAGAAACCTCGATACGTTCCCCATTTTTGATGTTACGTATCCATTCATGCACACACTCACATGCACACACACAACAAACGAGTATTCGTAGCCAAGGATATTACAATGCATGGAGACGTTCCTCGAAAAAAAAAAAAGGAATGGAAAGAGTACTCGAAGGGGAAAGAGAGGGAGAGAAAAAAAAGGGGTGCTCGCACCCACATGAAATTCTATATTCGCGTTTGCTCACGCCAGAATCCGGCAAGTTAGCCTCGCCTCGAGCGGTGTCACGAGCAGCCTGACGTTCACAGGTTTTGTAAACACTTCTCAGCCCGACCCGATAATCCAAACACTTGATTGCACGGAGATATCAATTAGCGAGGGAGGGTAGAAAAGGTGCCATTAGTGGTCTGCGCTTCTGGTGAGTTTGATTATCCTTGTCGAACGGAAAAAAAGAGGGAAAAAAGGAAAAAGAAAAAAATAGGAAGATAAAATAATTCGAAAGGGGAGAAGAGAGTGATTTTGCTTCGATATATATACATATATATATATATATAGAAACATCCCCGAGCAAGGGAGGGGGTTAATTTTTTTCCAAAGAACGAAGCACGTTCGTCGCACCTTTTACAATCCCATCCTTTCCCGTCAAACGCTCGATCGCTACTCGTCCATCTGCATAATCGATTGTGAATTATTAAGAAACTATGATACTCGCAGCGGTGCAACACGAAAGAGCTCCACGAAATACATCGTCCCTGGTTGCAGCCGCAAGGAGAGGTCCCTCGGGATTATATCCTGGAATTCCACACGTTTATCACGCAGCGAGCAACCCTTACCATCCCCTTCTGTACCCTGCGCTGTTCCCTTTCAAGCCGACCATGTCGGCTTTCACTCCGTCGGTCGGTAAGCAACCAAACCAATTTTCGAATCGGAATCAAAATGATATTATCGAGATGTAATTTTATTTACTCGAAATTAAGTATTTAAAATTATCTTTATACACGTATATTATATATATATACTTTGTCGATTCGCAGCACATTTTTTACCCCGTTCACCGACAACGGAATCGTTGACAGTGAACGCTGCGAAAGAGGACGAAGTGACAAGTTCGGAGGAAGCTGGATCGATCGACGCTAGAATCGAACCGAAGGGTAAGCACGTTCTCGAGTTAAACTCACGATTTATTTCGATCGATCGATCGACGAAATAACGTAATGCGTTGCGCGTTTCTCTCGCAGAGGAGTTGGCAAGCGCTCGATTAACACCGTCCATCGCTAATTCTGGATCGACGGAATACAACATCTCCAGCTTCTCCATCCTGCCCACGGAAAATATCTACGAATTCGCCGCGAAATTGCTCTTCTTTGCTGTCAGATGGGCAAGAAGTATCCATTCCTTTTTGCAAGTAATTTTTATTATAATCGATAAAAAAAAAAAACTGACATCGTACGTTGATCCTTTACCATCTCTCGATACTTACGTTACAAATATAATTCGTTCTTCAAGCTGCCCTACAGAGACCAGACTATTCTACTGGAAGAATCTTGGAGCGAGCTTTTCGTGCTCACAGCCGCGCAATGGAATTTCCCCGTGGAAGAGGCCACTCTGGTACCGAACGATTTATCATCCGAAAGAAAGGAAACGCTGGTCGACGAGGCGAGGAAATTGAGGGAATTATTGGGAAAATGCGCTCTCCTCAGGGTCGATCATTCGGAATACGCTTGCCTCAAGGCTATAGTTCTTTTCAAAGGGGGTAAGATAATTGATTACGTTGATTAATAACCATAGGAGATATTCTTATAATGATAATATTATGTATCTTCTTTCCTAAGAGTCGCGAGGGCTCTGCGAACCGGGACGAATAACGGCGTTACAGGAGCAGACGGTAGCCGTGTTTTGCGAAAGGGATGCGCGAAGAGTTGGACGACTTTTACTGCTGTTACCCTCTGCGCGAGCACTCTGCCGGTCAACCCTTCAGGAATTGCTGTTCAAACCGACAGTAGGGGATGTTAGCGTGGAACGATTGTTGGGCGACATGGTCAGCGCTCTCAGACCGACATAACGCCAATTCGACTCGGTCGATATAACTGTTCTCAAACGGCTAACCAATTTATACCGACCATTATTTCAAAGATAATTGTACTTTCGATCGATCGTCCTTTCTTCTTTTTTTCTCTCTCTCTCTCGAATCTCGGTTCAAAGAGAAAATACCAAAGAGATGAGATCAAAATTTGAAAATTTTACGTAAAGTCTAGTCAATTGTTCGCATCGATTGTAAATTACGATGTAATTCTGTTAAGTCTTAAATGTACATATATTAGACATAAGAATGTTCCAGTAATAATTAGTAGAACGAAACGTTGCTCTTTCTAATTGTATGAAATTATATGTTTTCTTTCTTTTTTTTTTTTTTTTTTCTAAAGAAATCTTTGCCGATAGATTGAAATGTTAACATTATATATATTTTCGAGATATGTGAAAGAATAGTCGAAACGTTTACTCTTGTGGATAAAAAACTTATGGAAAATTGATAGAGATTATACGACATAGGCAACGCGTATTTACGGTTTATTTCAGCAAAACCTTCTGAATTTCTGAAACGTTTATTCTCACATCACAACAATAAAATTCGTTTACACAGTGTATGGGCGTCTGCGACGATAAATAAAATTACTTTATATGGATGATTATCGGGAAGATTGGCATCAAAGAAAAAAAAGAGACACTAACGCACACTATTTTTTTTTTTTTTATTAACTAGAATAATTTATTCTTTCATGGTAGAAAAAGGAGAATGTATCTTAACTCATGGACTGCATTGTACTCATATATATATATACAATTACATACAATCCTCAATTGAACGTTACACATAAATTCATTATAGATTGATCTCTAATTATTTCCTTGTCCTCGTGTGTTTCTGCGTGTGTATGCATGTAAAAAACCCAAAAGAGACAACTGTCACTTTTTTTTTTTTTTTTCATTTTCTTCTTCTGTCGTTTCACTGTCCGGAATACGTATAAAGAAAAAAAAAATTGCCTCGATTATTTTACATAGTTTGCGGAGGGGAAAAAAATAGCTCTGAGTGCGATTTTGTTTATTTTTGTTTCTTTCCTTTTCTTTTCTTTTTTTTTTTTTTTTGTTCTTTTTCCTTTTTTGTCCGTGAACTAAAACAAAGACAGAGACGGATAGCGGAATTGAAAGGTATGGAGTGGAAAAAATGGGAGAGGACAAACAAGAAATTCAAGATAGAAGATTTTTCGTGGATGGAAAAAAACGTGGAAAAAACGGGGGGAAATGATCGATGGAAGATCATGGGTGAATCATCGATCGTCGAAAATTATTTCGATAAAGTGGGGGAAAAAAAAATGAGAATGAGGATCGAAGGAAAAAAATATGAAATTTTTTTTTTTTTTATCGTTCTTGGACCACAGGAATTATGTTTCAAAATTGATAATTCGATTGATACATCGAAAAATGATAATGATAATGAGAAAGAATTTTAGAAGAAGGGTAATTGTAATCGTTTCTGTTTTTTCTCTTTTTTTCTTTTTTTTTTAAAAGATTTTCTTCTCGAATTTGAAATACGATCTCGAAGCGAAACTTTGCACTAGCTACTCTTTGCTCTTTTTTTCCATCTCCTTGCTTTTTTTGTTTCCTGACTTTCGTGAAACCCTATTTTCTCTGAACTTGAAGAACATATTTCGTCCTTTTTTTTGTTTTCTATGCTCTTCGGTTTGCCTTCGATTTCTTTACAGCATCAAAACGCACAAATATATATGTTTATATATGTCAAACTGAAAAAAAAAGAAAGAAAAAACGAATGAAGAAAATCCTTATGCCTTCTTGAAAAATCTATATCGTGAAGTGTGTCTCGCTTTTTCGTTTTCTTCCTTTTTGACATTATCCTTTTTTTTTTTTTTTTTTTTAGCTTTTTTTTTAATCCACTCATTTTACAATAATAATAATATTCCTATACCGTTCTCCTTGTTTAACGCACTTACATTCAAATAGAATTTTATTTTTAAAGTTACATAAAATTTTGCGATTAAGTAAATCGGTAAATCTCGCTGCGTTTATCGTTTGTCGGTCTTTTTTCTTTCAATTCATCCTTATTATTATTATTTCCCTTTCTCTCTCTATAATATTATTTTATTTTTATTTTATTTACGTTTTTTTTTTTTCCCTTATTTTATCTTCTCTCTGTGAGGAATTGTTCTCGTCGAGCGTGTCGCTCGTTGGTGCATCTTCGCTCACGCGCGCGCTTCAACGTTCACTTTTCGCCGCTCTTCGTTCCCCGTTGGACTTTCTTAATTAATTAATTACCACGAGAATAATAAGAATACGAATAATAACAATTAGCAATATTAATAATAGTTAGATAGAGTACTAGATAATAATAGGAATAACATAGTAATCAAAGAACGATCAATTTTGCTCGAAGAGACGAAGGGAAGGAAGCGAATAATATACGTATTTTTTCTTTTTCTTTTTTTTTTTTTTTTTTTTTTTTTTT